ATGTTGGGGCCGGGGAGATGGCTCAGTGGAATAAGCGCTTACCTGGCAAGTGCAAGGGCCTGAGTTCAATCCCCAGTTCCGCAAAAAAAAAAAAAAAAAAAAAAAAAAAAAAAAAAAAAATTAATGTCATTTCCCAGCCGAAATGGAAACTGTTGTTGTCTGAGGATCCGTGTTGCACTGATTTCTTTCCTCTATCATGCACTTTGTCTAAATGAAATCTCCACGTTATGGGCACAAATTCAGTATTCTCATTGTGTGAATTAGAGTGTCATTAGAGTCACATTTTAGCAAGATGTTTCCCACTGGGGAGACCCGGGGAGCGGGGCACATGATTTTCAAATTGTTTCAGTGAAAACTGTCGCTTCACTCAGAAGCAGTTCACACTATACGCTATCCCTGCCCAGTGCCAAGAATGTTTTGGGAATTTTGGTCAGAGTCTCACTTTGTATTAATTTTCTGCCACTGGTTGTTATGGTTTAAATCTCAATGTCCCCCAAGAGGCTCCTGCAATCACAAGGGGAGGCTTGGGAAGGTGACGCGTGATGGGGCCCATCGCAGACTCGCTGTTAAAGAGGCGGCCCGAGGCCTGGCCTAGAAGGGCTCTTCTTTCTCCTGGCTCCTCCCTTCTCTTCACTGCTTCTTGTGCGCCTTGCTTTGAGGATCTCTCCTCTGCCTTGCTGGCCTGCCTCGGAGCCAGCCGAACATGGACTGAACAAACTGTGAGCCAGAATAAACCTGTGCGCCTTCACGTCATGGAGTCAGGGACAACTGAGTGTGTAGCTCAGTGGAGGAGCGCTTGCCTCCAAGGTCCTGGGTTTGACCCCTAGTGACAACCACAGCCGCCGCCACCACCAATTTATGTTTGGGCTGGAGATGTGGCGCGGTGGTACAGCTCTTTTGTAGCACATGCAAGGCCCTGGATTTGATCCTCGGTACTACAAAAACAAAACAACAATTCATTCTTTTACAGGTCTGTAGATTACAAGTCTGACCTGGGTCTGGATTGGCTGAAATTATTGTATTCGTGGAGACTGCGGGGTAGAACCTATGCCCTGCCTTGTCTAGCTTCTAGAAGCTGCCCCTGTTGCTGGCCCATCAGTCACTTTCTCCAGGCTCAAAGCCAACCTGGTGGCCTCTCACTGACTGCCCCCTGCGTGCAGGTGCCTACCAGCCTCCCCCCTGGGAGCAAATGAACTGCATTCTGGGAGGAAAGGTGACTGCAAAGGGAGGATCCGGCTTAGGAGCTGGTGAGGAGTGCAGACTCGCACCAGCCACCAAGCACAATATGACCTCAGGTGACAGGCAGATACCTGCAGAGGAAGGTTGAAAATGGCACTGGCTTTGAAAGAAGGGGTGATGGGGGAGCTGTGGTCGTCTGTGGATTCACTCCATTGAAGGATGAGTTCAGGGCTGACTGCCTGGCCAGGAGGCGGGGCCTGTATGGAGGCGGGTCCCTGGGGGCGGGGCCTGGGTGGGTGGGGTCCCTCCTGGCTCCTCCTCCTCTCTGCTTTCTGGCTGCATTGGGTTCCGATTGCTCTCCAGGAGCCAGGCAAGCATGAACCATGAGCCAAGAAAACCCCTCCTGTAAGTTGTAGGTGCTGAGCATTTCGTTTGCAGCGGTGGGAAGGTTTTGGCAGGCTCGGGTCCCTCGGAGGCCTCTGACCCTCCGTCCCCGATAGCCACCATCTTTCTGCATCTTCACATAGTCCTGTCTTTATGCACGCAGTCAGGGCATCTCTGTGAGCCCAGATTCCTTCTCAGCCCCAGTGCGACAGCACATGCTTGTCTGGCGGCTGAGGCAGCTCCAGTTCAAGGCCAGCTGAGGCACACAGAGAGTTCTGCTTTCTGGGTAGTTGTGGATGCCGTGAGCCGTGCACGAGAAATGCCAAGGGCACTGACAGCGCCTGCCCACCCCACGCCCCTGCCCATGTGCCGTAGAACCCACTCTTCTTTACCACTGGCTCATTTAGTTCCTCCGAGGCAATATGCAGCTTAATAACTGGAATCATCGAAAGGTTTAACCCTTCCCCGTGGAATCTCAGACATCAGCTCGCAGATACTCAGAGGACTTACCCACCAGGAAGCCACCCACATGCTGAGCCCGCGTTGGCCACAAAAGGGAAGCCTCACAGCTGTGCCTGTCCATCCCACGCACCTGTGGCTGCTCCCTCCTAAATAGGGCCTGCTGTGATCTGATTTGATTTCATTTCACTCTAAATTGCCTGCCCTGTGACGGGAGGTACAAAACAGAGTCCTGAAAATCAATTCCACCGTGCAAATGAGCAGTGGCGGTGGACTGGGGTGCGGGAGACGAGGCCGGGCTGTGGGGCATACAGATCACGGTGGGTGGCCTGGGTCAGGGTGTTTGTGATGCAGAGCTATTCACAGATGTCCCCCTTGCTGTTGCAATGGATGTCACATGAGGTCTTTCTATGAAGATCTGCTCCATGCAAAGCAATCCCAAAGGCCAGAGTGGCGAGGAGAGAGCTGTCACTTTTCCTCAGCAGCAGTGGGACCAAGTGCTGGCAGTCTGCTTCCATACACAGAGGCTTAGATTGGGGACAGGAGGACAGTGCAATCTTGTTCTCCTTCCACAGATTCTGGGAGTCTCCCCACCATAACCCAGGACATCAGCATAATTCAGTAGTGAATGAAAAACTGGAAGAAATCTCTTCAGTAGCTAACTAAGATCTGCAGCTGATAGCTCAGCAGACTAAAGCGCCTGCTTAGACAAGCTTAGGTGAGCGCAGGGACTGCAGTTCAATCCCAGCACCACAGGCCATGCCAGCTCTGCCCCCAGGGCAGGCTGAGACACACAGAGAGAGAGAGAGGAGAGAGAGAGAGAGAGAGAGAGAGAGAGAGAGAGAGAGAGAGAGAGATTTCTCAGATAGTATTTCTTCCTGGAACTTCTTGCTGCCTGTTTTCTGGTTGCAGTGCTAAGATTTGAACGCAGAGCCTCAGGCATGCTAAGCCCGTGCTCTACCACGGAACCATATTCCCAGCTTGTCATATCGACTTGATCTGTTTTGTAGTGTAGGGTGGCCCTGAACTCACTGTGAACCCCAGGCTGGCCTCTTCAGTAGCTAAGATCCGCGGCTGCTGCCTCGGCCTCCTGTGTGCTGGATTATTGGCATGTGCCACCACACATGGCCGTACTGCATATTTTTAAATGAAGCCCCTCTGTCTTGAGAGAGAAGTTGGTGATGCAAGTGAGAAGCAGGGCAAAGCTGGGGTCTCCCCAGCTTTCCCTCCCCTCCTCCCTCCACAAAATAAAGGGAAAGAAGCCGCAGTGACTAATGTTACCATTTCTTCAGTCAACTCACATGTAATTTACCTTTCAAGGATGTAATTTACCTTTCAAGGCCTCACTCATCTAAGCCATTCATTGGGGTTTTTTTGTAGAACCGGGGATTGAACTCAAACCCTTGCGCTTGCCAGGCAAGCGCTTATTCTACTGAGCTATCTCTCCGGCCCCCTTTGGTTCTTCATGGGAGGAGGTATGGCCTCCAGAGGGCTCAGGAAGTGTCTGGGGCCCTTTTGCATGGGATGTGCTGGGGCACGCTGTGGGCTCTGGGCACCTGGTGGGTACAGGGTGTGCATGCCTCGAAGCCACGCATGGGCCGGCACCCACAACAAAGACTTTCATGACTTGAAATGTTGGCAGTGCCAAGACTGAGAACCCTAGAAGCCAGGCTGGTGCCACACAACTCTAATCCTAGCAACCAGGGAGGTTGAGGCAGGAGGGTCACAGGCTTGAGGCCCACCCCTGCTCTTTAATGAAATGTTGTCTCATGGAATGTAAAAGGAGGGTGTAGCTCAGCGGTAGGGCACTGGCTAGCGTGTCTGAGGCCCTGGGTTCTGTCCCCAGTATCTCCCCCTCCAAATACAGTCTCAGTCAATACAAAGAGAAAATAGGCTCCTGGAATCCTACAACTATGCTGAGTTCCACTGGCTTTTCTGTGTTCCTTCCGGCCTCTGCTGCATTCAGAACGCTTGCATCCCCTGAGTTCTCATGGCAGGACTAGCACTGAGATTCCACCTGTCTTCGTTTATTCCTGCATCCTGAGCTCTTGCCTTGTCATCCTCGTGGCTGCTTGGGTTTTTTGTTTTTTTAACAGCACTGTGAATTAAACCAACTGAGCTGCTGCCTCCCTCCTTTCTATTTGGAGGCAGTCTCAAAGTTGCTCAGGCTGGGCTCCGACTTGCAGTCCTCCTGCCTCAGCCTCCCAGAGTGCTGGGGTCCTAGGCACGCACCCCATTCCTAGCGCAGTTAGCGTTTTTTACTGGATGTACTGCAGTCCCCACAGGCTGGTGCTCCGTGGTTCTGGGGCGCCTGTCCAGGGCCATCTGGGCGTGGTGGTACGGGCCTGGAGCATCACAGCCTGCATCATCAAAGGCCTTTGTGAAGCACCCGGGTGGACTCCCTGGTGCTACGGGTGCTGCCACAGTCCTGATTCTGGGCCCTGTGGGCTCAGACAACAGCACTTATGTTGGCCAACCACAAAGGCGCCTGAAGACCAGGCTGCGGGTCCCAGGCAGAGAAGGCAAAATCGGACCTTTGGGCGACATTCATGCCAAGAGTGAGTGCATGTGGCATTCTTGGGGGAGGGGTGAAGGAGTGCAGGGGCTCAGCCTTGGCAGGGAGGAGGGCGAGAGGGGCTCGGTCAAGATCACAGGGCTGGCTGCCAGGAGCCTGGCTGGTGGCCAGATGTCAGCTGAGACTCTGTCTTTCTTCCCCAGGCCTTCCGCGAGCGGGGCATCGTCTTCGGCTACCGGCATCCACAGAGCTCGGCCACTGCCTGTCTGCTCAGCCTTTTTCAAATGACCAATGAGACTCTCAACATCTGGACCCACTTGCTGCCCTTCTGGTACCTCCTGCCCCCTGGCCATTCAGGACTCCAGGGGCCTATGGGCTCTTTAAAGCACAGCAGGGGATGTGAGGGCCCGAAGTGATGGGCGCTGGGGCTGGGGTGTGCCCTCCTGTGGGGCTGGTGAATGTGTGTAGAGGGGGAGAGGCTGGGTCTGCCCAGAATGGGCCTAGGGCACGAGTCATGGTGGAGGCCCCTGAGCACGCACCTCCGACTCCTTCGGTCATGGAGGCTTTGAGGGACCCCTGAGTAAACTGTCACTAGCTCAGGCAAGTCACTTGTTCCTCCTGAGCTTCGCACTTTGCCACTGTGAAGCAGGTGCCATTGGTGTCATGTTCCCAGGGTGGCTGTGAGGACGGGGAGAAGTGGTAGCAAAGACAGCACACCCTGGTCACACACCCAGCTAACCTGAGGAGTAAGGAGCTGGGACGGGGCCACGGTCCCGTGTCATGCACAGGTGGCCCTGTTTCCCTGGGGACAGTACCAACAACCGCGAATATGCCTTCATGCAGACCACTGTGGGCTCTTTGTGTCTCCTACACACAGCCTCTACCTACTTTAAACCTTCCCTAGGTTGCTGAAGCATCCTGGGATGGTATAACCCTTGGCTCATAGCTGTCGTGTGGTGTGGCTTGGGGAGCAGGGGAGGGAAAGTGGACACGCTCCGTATGGATGCAGCTTTAGCTCTCGCCTATTCTGATCTGTGGTGGTTTGAGTCCGAGGATGTGGAACCCACAGATAGGGTGGGGCAGCTGAGTATCAGAGCTGGGTGGGGGGTGAAGGCCATTTGGGCCCTGAAGATCATTGGAGACACAGCTGAAAGGATGCCGAGTGCGTGGAGCAGCCGGCCAGCCTGACCGGAAGTCGAAAAACACAGCTGGGACCAGAAGCAGAGGCCGCCGGGGCCTGCAGCCCCCCCATGGATGGCCAAGAAAACTCCTTCCTGGAGTGCTAGAGGGGGAGGAGGGTGACCTATAAGGAAACCAGACAGCCCAGGGGCCTACAGCCTGGGCAAGGGGACAGCAAGGTCCTGCCAAGGAGGCTACTTGTCCTGTTAACGTTTTTACTTGTAAAAAGGCTTCGTGGTACTAAACTTACATTGCGGAAGGGGGCAGATGGGTGCCCAGTTCTCCTGCCTGGGGTTCCTGGGATGACATAGCCTGCTCCTGTGCTGTCCTGAGCTCTTCCAGGAGTCCAAGGTGCTCTGATTTGTAGATAGAGCAAGGTTGGCTCAGGTTGGTTTGAGATTGGTGCCGCTTCACAGTGTGGGGTCCTCGGGGCCTTGCATAGATCCTGTGGGGGCGCCTTTGCAGCTATTTTACAGTGACCCCAAGGAGGCCCCCTACACTGTAACGGCTCCCCCACATGGGCTGGGCTCTCAGACACCTCAGGCTAATCAACGCAGAGTGCTGGAAGGGGGCCAGCAAGTGTGCCCCAGGACACCTTAAAGAAAAGGGCCCATGGGACCCTCTTGAGATGGAATAAAAACAAAGCTCAAAACAGTTAACTTTGCTAAAGCTCCCTGCTGGGCAGGAGGAGAAAACCAGCAAGCATAGCCAGTGGGTTTAATCCACACTTTTGGGGGCTGTGCAGGAGGAACCTGACCCACGGGTGACAGGCCGATGTGACAGCTGTGTGTTATTCCTGCCCTTCCTAACATTCAGGCTTGCCGCGGGAGGTGGTGAGCCCCCATCCTCAGAGGTATGCAAGAGAAGCTGGGGCATCACTCACGCGCACCCTGCTGTAGGAGTGATTCGTACCTCCCTGGCATGTGCTGTTTCCCTAAAACAAAGACTTGCAAAGAATTGGATAAGGTGTCTAAGGGGGCCATGTGGTCCACGCTGTTTCAGGTTCTTTGCATGGAGGTTTGTGACTGCACTGTACGTGACAGATGTCCAGAATGACAGCTACTCGTGGCCCATGCTTGTGTACATGTGGACCAGCTGTGTGTATCCCCTGGCATCCAGCTGCGCGCACACCTTCAGTTCCATGTCTAAGAATGCCCGGCACATCTGCTACTTCCTGGACTATGGCGCAGTCAATCTCTTCAGCTTGGGTACGTGGCCCATGTGGCACCCACACACGTACAGCTGGGATCCCAGCAGGATGTTGGAAAGTTTTCAGGGAGTCGGGGGAGGTCAGAGCCTGGTCTAGGTGCCCGGAGAGGGTTTTGTAAGGTCCAGTGCCAGCACCTGGCCATCTGGGGACCCCGTCCATATAGGCAGTGTTTATAATGCTCCTCCACAGCCCACTTCAGCTCCTGTGTGACATGGTGGTGTGCAGATTGGGCGGGGAGATGGACAAGCCATTGAGAAGCAGTTCCACTGGAGCAGGACAGGAAGTGTGTGCTGAGGGCTTAGGACGTTGCTTAATGCGAGTTTCCTAGTTGTAGATTTCTGTACTTCAACTTGTAATGGTGCTTGGGTTTGATGGTTCAGCTCACCATGGCTCTGGACTGTCTAGGTCAGCCTGAGCAGGCCAGGCTGGGCAGGCATAGCACAGCAAGACTGCCAAGGGTGTGGTCACCAAGCTCAGCTGCTCAGAGTGCCACAGGAATTGAGCTGAAGTTGAGCGTGGGTTCCCAGGTCCTGTCTTTCTTTACCCAGCATGTCCCCTTTCCCTATATCCTCTCCTCCGCTCCCCTCTGCTTGTGGGTATTCATCCATCCATCCATCCACCCACCTGTCCATTCATCTACCCATATATCCATTTATCCATCTATCCTGCCATCCACCCACCCACCTATCCATCCATCCATCCATCCACCCACACACCCACCCATCCATCCACCCACTTACTTATCC